TATTTAATAATTTTTAAATATAGTTTTTTTTAAAAAATTATTTAATAAATAAAATTATTAATTTTAATAAAAAAAACTAAGTGTCAGTTTTTTTGTCCCAAACTGTATATATTAACTGATAAGTCTAAATATAAAGAATTTTTAAAAATAATTAAGTACAATATAAATAAGATATTTAGTAAATTTATATATAAAGAATATTTTATATATTTTGCCTTCTATAGATATTGAACTAGAAATATGCATTTGAAAACCTAAAAGCATTATTCACTATACTATTAATTCACAAGTTTAGTAAGTTATATTTTATATTTAAATAAACAAATATATTTACTTATTAAATTTTTTAAATAAATTTTTAGTATAATAATTAATAATGTAAATAATAATATAATTTTTTTTAAAGCTATTAAAAAACATTAAAAAAAATAATATTGAATTTAATATCAACAATTAATATATATAATATTTTATATATATTATTAATCTTAATATTTAACAAAATATTACAAATATTAAATACTGAAAATAATATTATTCAAAATGATATCAATATATTATAAGATTATAGCAATATATACAAAATAATAGCTGATTTTTTATAATAATAATATCAAAAAAAAAATCTTTCCCACTCTCCTTTCTACACTTGAAAATTTCCTTTTTAGAAAATTTTGAGTTGTCTACTTTTTTCTTCATTTTTTCCTTTTCTTTTCTTTATGCTCCCCTTCCTATACCTTTTTATTTTCCTTTCCCTATCTTCTTCTCTCTTTTCTATATATTTTTTTTATATTTTATACCCTCCCCTTCCTCTTTTCCTTTTTTTTTTCTGCTAAAGTTAGGTTTTCTCTTTTTCCTGAAGATTTTCCTCTCTAGGCCTCTTTCTCTTTTGAAAACTTCATCTCTATAATATCACTCCTCTGGCCAGTCAACTTCCTTTTCTCAAAAATCATATTAAGAAACAATAACCTGTTTTAGAATGTAGGCTTTAGGAAATTTTATCTCTTCCATGATTCTTTAGAAAAAAGACAGATGGCTTATCTCTTCCAAAAGATCAATATGGTTATCATTATCAAACTCGACGTTGTTTATCGATCGGCAGTTAGACTAGATATACCCAAGAAACCTTTGTACAACTATTATTATCTAAAAGTACTCAAGAAGTTGCGCCCTATAGTATCCAAAGTGAAATGACAGTCAATGCCAATGCAACTAGCAATAAGCTAGGTTAGTTGCAAGTGTTATGCTAGTGATTAGAGAACCTAGTAGGGTAATACTTGATGACTAGAGATTTTAGTTACCCCTGAAAATGAGCTGGTGACAATAACAGAAGTTTCTCGCTTACCTCTTAAACAATGTAGGTTTATTGTATAAGGTTAGGTTTTGGTGCCATTAAGAAAACCAATATGAATTCTACCCATAGGACACTTCCGATATACTTGAAGCATGGATATGCCAAATCCTTTTTGTAACTTGGAGGCAAATCTGTATAAAGTGGTTGCAGCACCTTTATGCAAAAAGATATTTATTTCCCATCACCTCTAACACTATTTCACTTGCCATACATTAAGCCATATTTGGAAAACAGGCATATCAATCCTAATCATGACTTGGAGGCCAACTGTATAGATTGGCTGCAGCACCTTCATGTAATTAGATATTCATTTAATTTTAGATAGCTAAATGCTATTCAAGACAATAATATAGATTTTTGAATTTCTTTTTTTCTATACTTCTTGAATAATGCCAAAAGAGCACAAGGATTGGATCCATTTTGAAGCCTTGCATTAAACTCTTTCTAACAAAGAGAAATGTGTGTCATGTTATTGATATTGTACCTTATTTTGCAAGTAAAAGTATAATAAATAAAATAAAGTGTGATAGCTATTTGCTCTTTTCAAAAAAAAAAATAACTGATTTTTTATTTAATATTGTTTATATTTAAATAATAAATAAAATTATAATTATTAATAAATTAATTTATTTTTAACTTTATAAACTTATTTTTAAAATTAAAATATTATTATAACAATAAGAAAATTTTTTGTCACATGTTAAGTAGTTGGAATATCTAATAAAATAGTTATATTAAATATTAAAACACAATGAAATTCAATATATAATATATTAATTAAAGCTTATAAACTAAAAAAAGTAAGTTAATTTAAATTAGTTCAATCAAGTATAAATAATAATATTTAAATTTTATTATTTTAGCCAATAAATATATTAAATAATAATAATTTTAATATTTGTAATTTTATAATTAATAAAAATAAATGAATATATTTAGAAGAAATTAAAAAATTATTAAAAGTAAATAATAATTTTAAAATTTTTTATGATTATAATTTTATTATTTATAATAAATTTAATTTAGAATTTTGCAAAAGCAATAAAACAAATATCTAAATATATATATTTAACATTTTCATATTCAATATCCTTTTATAATATTTTATTAAATAAATTGAAAAAAATTTATAATTTAGCAACATTTAAAAGAAAATAAAATATTACTTTTTTAATTGAAACTAATTGATTTATTTATATTATTATTTATTATTATATTATAAAAAATAACTAAAATTAAAATTTAAAATTTAAAAAAATATTATAATAAGACAGAAGTATTGATATATACAGTTATTATAAATATATTAAATATTAATTTTTTTTGTAATTAAATAAATATTTATTATATTTAGTTAATTAAGATTTATATTAGGTTTTTTTTTTTTTTCCCATAGTCAAACAAGTGCGTACTGTTTATTAAATCTTTACAGAAAACAAATAATGTATAATACATCATATTGCATAAACTATTCTACTGTCTTAAATACCTGTCTTTGACTAATGTCTCTAGGTGTAACTTTGGAGATGAATAAAGTTGCTCTTTTTGTCATTTACTCACTTATAGAGTTTGATTCCAAAAATCATTGTCTACAGTTCATTACTACAGTCGATATATTAAATATTCTTTATAGTAATTATAATTAAATATTAATTTATTTACTATTATGTCTAGCAATATACTTTGTACTCTTGAAATAAATTACATATATTTAAAGAGATCTATTTAAAAAATAAAAATTTTATTATTAATTTAAACTATCTAATCTATTAATTTAATTTTTATATATACATTAGGATTAATTAACTACTAATTATTATATATAAGTTACTTATTATATATTATTTTTTTATTTATACAACCTGTGGATCTGTAGTGTAGTAATTAATACTTCACAGGTCAAATCACAAGATACCAGTTCCACTTTATGTGAAGGCAGTTGAATAGAATTAATATGATATCTGGCACCATAATTTGTATAAGTGCTGTTTCTTATAAGAAGCCATTTTATACGCTAATCCAATAGGTATTGAGATTGTGATTTCCAGAAAAGATGTTATGATGCAACAATCGTCCAATTGGTATTACAATGATTGCCAGAAGTTGTAAAGTGTATGAGGTGTCTGCTTTCAGTAAAGATGGCTTGGTGATTGTTTCTCTGTGGTACCTGGTATCTCTTCCTGCAAGTTTCCAGAAAGGCCTTATTCCAATCCAGTAATAGATCATTCCGACAGTTACCTATCCTGAAAAGGCAGCCAAAATAGCAGTAAGTATTGATAGCTGAAACAATCTATAGGCAGTAAATCTGTAAGATAAGTTTTTTGAATATTTTTGGGTAGCTCTAGAAAGGTGGAAATTAAATAGTACGCCTATTTGCAGGTGATCAAGTTTAGAAGGATTCTCTTTACAGTAGTTCTATTTACCAAAAATAAGTACTATCCCCAGTTCCCTATATTCAAACTTCCCTTTAAAATTCACACAGTATCAAATAGAACATAACGATATAATAATAACACTAATGGGGCTTTGGCATGTTAGCCTCAGCACAATCCCTCTAGGATGATGCTGACAGTAACAAGCCAATATGGAGTAAAAATCTATATAGTCTAGTAATGCATAGAATTGTTCATAGATAGTAGTTCCTGTAATACATGAAATACATATGTGAATAAAATAATAAAGTACATTAGGCAAGGTCCAGCTAGTTAAACACAAAAAAAAAAAAAAAAAAAAATCTTTTTACTTATATAGTTATGGCTTCAAAGGATCTTTGATATATATATATACTTTTTAGTAAATACTTTTGAATAATAATCAGATTGGTTTTGGCTACCAAATCTAAAGATATAAATACTAAGCAAAGTACAATCTCTATATATTACAAAAATATCCAGGTACTATAAGAATAACTATATATTAGTATTGATTCAATTTTTTCTTTAAAGCTTTTTATTTAATTGTTAATAAAAAAAAGAAGATCAATAATTTGAGATTAATTAAAATAGAGTACAATCCAATCTATATTTTTAAATATATAAATAAGTTTTAATCAATTACAAATCAGCAACTTTTTTTATTGATCCTTTAACCAATATTTCAAAACAGTATTCAGACTAAAACATGTCTTTACTTATAACAAAACTTATATATTCTCTTTAATACAACTTGACTGACCTTGGCAAGATACTCTCATACCTTCACTGTTTTATTTATCCTTTCAACAAAGTAAAAACAAGAAGGCTTCTTAGTTTTTACTTATCTAAGCTCCAATGGCAAGAAAGAGTTTTCCAAGAAAGAAGACAGTTTATTTGATTTTCTTTCTTTTTTTTACCACTGTGATATCAGTATCTCTATCAAAAAGAATAACTTGAAAGGTTGTTAGATATCTTGGTCTCCAAAACCCTTCACAACAAGAGTAAAGTTACCTTTCAAGCATGTTCCTTTGAAGCATAGAAATCAGTATAATCACCAATACTAGCTGGCAAATGCATTTTAGCGATTTTCTGGGGCACGAATGCCTGACGTCTTAGTTCAATATTATCTCGTAGCAAAGGATTATGATCCGCCAATATTTCTTGCAAGAATTTACGAGTTGCTTGCCATACTGGTCTACCTAGTGACATAAACGTGTTTAAAGTTGACTGTAGTAAAAAATTACGTTAGTCAATGAATTAATGAGCATGGAATTACAAGGATCGAAGAATTACCTGTGAAAAAACAGAAAGAGGATTTTTCAATTCAGGAACTTTTTCTTCGAATAATGGAGCTATGACCGGTAAATCCAAAATTTGACTTCCGATAGCAACTCCAACCCGAGGTGTCGGCTGCATACAACAGATACAATAACTAAACATAATGAGCCGCAAAAAATTTACAAGTCATGAGAACTTACGACATCTTCAGTTGAAAAAATTCCGAAGGGTAAATTTTGAATAGGAAAATGAGAATCAGAAGGAACTTCGATAAATGATTTCATCTTAATGATTTGGTTAAAACGATATTTATTTTTACTTTATCTACTTGTTCTTTGAAGAAACGACTAAATCGTTCTTTCGATGATGCATCTCATTAATTTATATGAAATTGACGTATCTCCTGAATCATTGGTGATGCGCAAAGGGGTGATTTCAAAAGTTAATATGACCTTTCGTTATGATTGTTATTTTCAATTGTATTATTATTTTCCCACGTTCCTATTTTTAATTTGATAATTAATATTAAAATTCTAAATAATTATCTTACATTAGTAAATTTAATTAAGCAGAGATCTCTGGAGTTCTCTGTCATAAATTTTTAAAGAATTTATATTTTTATTAAAAATTTTCAAAGTAAAGATTTATTATATATATTTTAAAAACCTTTGAAATTTTTAAAGGGTTTTAAAAATTTATTTGCTATTTTGAATTACATTTTAGATTTAAAAATATTTATATAACAATAAACAATATAATAAATAATTTTATAAAAATTTTTTTTTTAAAAAAAAATTCTTTTCTACTTTTTTTTCTACACTTGAAAATTTTTTTTTTAGAAAACTTTTAAGTTGTTTACTTTTTTTGTTCTCTTCTTCTTCTTTCTATTTCTTTTTTCTTTTACTCTTTTTTCTTTTTCTATTTTTTCTATTTTTTTTATAAAACTTTTTTTTATATATTTATTCTTTCTTTTCCTTTCTTGCCAAAGTATGGTTTTTTCTTTTTCTTAAAGATTTTTTCTTTTTAGATCTCTCGTTTCTTTCAATATACTATCTCTTATCTTATTACTTTTTTAATTAGTAGATTTCTTTCTCTCAGAAACCATATAAGAAATGGCAAGATTTTTATAGGATATAGGTTTTAGAAATTTTTTCTTTTCTATAATTTTTTAAAAAAAGGACAGATGGTTTATCCCTTTCAAAAGATTGATATGGTTATCATTACCTAATTTAATATTATTTATTTATTGATAGTTAGACTAAATACATCTAAAAAACCTATATACAATTATTATTATCTGAAAATATTTAAAGAATTGTATCTTATAGTATTTAAAATAATATAATAGCTTGACTAGCTTATCCCCTCAAAAAGATCGATATAAGATGATTATGCCATATTGGGAACAAGGCCCTAATATGGATAGACCCATAGGCTGTACTACAACAACAAGCTGGTTTCTGGATCCAGCAATTATAAAAACCAACTCTCCTAATTATGCCACTTTCCATTCACAGTCAACCATATAGTGAGCACATATATTAGTTATAAAATAACTACCGTATACCACTGCATACAATACCCCCCAAATACTACCCCCCACTAATAATATCAGGTAGTATTCAAGAAAATTGTTGCTTGATAATTGATTACTACCT